AGGAATGCGAGAGGGAGTAGAGCGCCCCAACCCCGCGCCGGCGGGGGGTGGGGAAGTGTTGAGAGGCACTGATCCAGAGCCAACACTGCTCTCAGCCCCATTAGGAGGTACAATATTAACAAATGCTAAGAGTTAGGATTCAGCAATATCAGAAGGGCTGCGTGTTGCCCAGCCTGAACTTAGGGGCAGAAGCCAGGAACATACCCAGCTGGATGATCTGTACTCGGTGCTGGTGTCGGGCAGCCAGATTCTTCAAGTCCTGAAAGATACAAACACGAGAGGCTTTGGGAGCAGTTTTAAGGTTGGTGAAAAGCGTGAGGCTGAACGGGGAGGAAAGCAAGAGGCAGTTCAATTCCTCCTGGAGTCCGTTCCCACAGTACAGTTTGGTTATGTCTTTGCAGAAGAGAAGAGAGTGAGAAACTTGGGGGTGGGGGAAATTGTAAGAGACTTCCACCCCATTCCCTTCCCCAAGCACAGTTTGCTTGTCATTAGAGCAAAGTCTCTTTGGTAGTTCCTAATTCTTCCAGGTCTCACCTTTGCACGTGGTCCTTCTGGGTCCCGGCAAGTGGCAAAGATCCATTCTGGTGGGTTGCTCTTCCCCACGAGCTGCTTTACCAGCTCCAGGCCAATGCCCCGATTAGATCCTGTCACTAAGACACTGCGTGGATTCAAATCTTCCATCTCCCTTGGCAGCCAGAGTCCAACTGGAAAAGTTATGGACCTCAAGTTAAATAAATCAGGCGTTTGTCTCTTTCAGCTATCTCGGCTTCCAGGAACTGTTTCTCTCCTTTGCAATTCTGCTGCTTATATTGGGCAATGGTTCAGAAGTAGATAGGTAACTGCCCACACCCAACAGGCAAAAGAAATGATACTTAAAAACAGCTTGTTGTTTAGTAAGGGAGGAGACTGGAGAGAACAGTGTGTGTGTGTGTGTGTGTGTGTGGGTGTGTGGGTGGGTGTGTCTCGGGGGAGGGACTGGGGGAGGAAGGAAGGAATCATCTTCAAAAGTTGCTTGGAACAGCTGGGCATTCTTTTAAAAGACATAATTTCAGACTCTTGCTTACTATAAAAATTGGCAGCTGATCCATGGCTTGTGAGAAATGCAAACAATATTCTGCTGAGTATGATAGAGGAGATCACTGACTGGATCACTGTTGGGTTTATGTCCCACCACATGAACCAGGCAGACAATATATGTGTGGGTGGGTAGGGAGAATCCCTCCTGATTCCCTTCTTCTTCATTCTCCTAAGGGCTTCTAAGAAAAGTGAGCAGCAAAAAATGCAGCCCGTCTTGCCCCAGGTTTGGGCATTCAGCTATGCTGGGGATCAGAAAAGGACAGATGACCGGGAAGGAGCACAGCTTATCCTCTGCCTGCTCTGATTTGATGGCTTAAGGGCAAAGCAAGGCTTGTTGAAACACAGAACATTCGGCCACCCTCTAAAAGGGACTAAAGGTAATGCTGGTCTCTGACACAGATCTTGTGATTTATTTTACAGGATAAGTGTTTGGTTTCCACACCTGTGTTTTGCACCACTTCAGGGTAAGTTCCAGATCCGGTTGATGTTATACCTCTGTTTTCAAGAGTGGAGCTTTTTATTAACTTACACTATTTATTTCAGGGCAAGTTCCAGATCTGGTTGATGTTATACCTCTGTTTTCAAGAGTGGAGCTTTTTATTAACTTACACTATTTATTTCAGGGCAAGTTCCAGATCTGGTTGATGTTATGCCTCTGTATTCAAGAGTGGAGCTGTTTGAAACTGCTGCCAAGCTGGTATTTTCCTTGAAACTGCTGTAGCTCTGGAGACATGGAGCTGATCCATTTTCCCTTGGCAGGAACTCTGGCCTCATCCTGCCTCCCAGTGTTGGTGCTGCAGCCAACCATGACGCTCTCCCTCCACCCCACAAAAAATATGTAGCAACTTGGAATGTTCACCTCCAGTATGCAATATTGAACCCAATCCAGAGGTCATCGCGACATGTAACTATGGTCCCAGCTCTTGCAAAAAGTGCCTGCTTACAAAATTGCCATATGCTAACATTTCCCTCTTCCACATCCTTGGAGCTTTTGAAGGCAATGGCAAAACGGTGACCAAGCAACTAGAAAGACCTGGGGGGAATTCGGTGGTTTTGTTTCCATCTTTTTACAACTCAGCTTCCCTTGCACTGCTTTCCCTTATATAAGCTTCCTAGATGTCTTGCATGCCACCAGAGAAAGGCACACAAATGCATGTTGTGAAAGGGAGAGAGCCTTCAGAAATGTATTGAGAAGGTCGTTCTCATTTAGCGACCACAATTGGGACTGGCAACTCAGTTGTTAAGCGAAGTGGTTGCTAAGTGAAACATCACAATTTTATGATCTTACTTCAGCTTCCCTTTGTTTTACAGACCTGCGAAGGTCATAAATATGAGGACAGGTTGCAAAGTTACTTTTTCATCACCATTGTCACTGCAAAGGGTCGCTAAGCGAGGACTACCTGGATTTCCATTTTGGGTATAGTGGGAAGAGGAGATTTTGTTACTCTATGAGCAAGAGTAAAGCAGGAAGCAGGCCATGGAATGAAAGATGTTTTTTGTACTCAGATGGGAATATCAGAACTGAACTGAAGTTTCTTCACAAACTTGAATGAATCTCTCAGGGCTTAAGTTAAAAAGTATGAGCTCTAGCATTAATCTGGGCAGGTCTGAGACTGAAAGACCCAGACTTCTGAGGTTTATTTGAACCCTCCCTCCCAGGAGTAGAATGCTATTTTTTTCTCTCATTGCATCATATGTAATCTTTTTCTCTATTTTTTTTTTCCAGTGAAGCTAGTGATTCATTAAACAGAAGTAACTTGAAAAACCCCAGATGTCGAAAGGAGGGTGAAAGATCAATCAGATTTCAATTATATTTTAATGGATTGAGCTTTGCTGCCTAGAATGAAAGGCATTGGTCCATCTGGCCCTTTCAAATAGTGAACAAGCTTTGCAGGTAGCTTCTTATGTGTGTGGGGTCTGACAGGAGTGTTGTGGTGGGAGTTAAAACAAATCAAGACGACAGCCAAGACTGCATGACTAAACCCCCATTCCTTGTTTATATATCTTGCATATACAATGCAGATAATGCAGGGGTGGGGCTTTAATCATGCAATTTTGGCACCCATCTTGACTGGTTTGGGCCCCTCTGCAGACCGCAGTCTGGAGCAGTTACGTCCTTTGCTTTCAACGGTCCTGAATTTGGGTGATGCTTTTAGCATTTTTCTTTTGCCAATGTGTAGTCCTGGGCACAGGTTCACTAGTGTCCCATCCCCTACCTGTGATAAGAACTTGCTTTCATTTTAATTTGTATGGTTAGTGGTGAAGTTTATTAAACCATTTCTCAAGTGGGGGATCAATATATGAAGGTCACTCAAGTGCAGAACATCTCGATACATGGTTGAAGACTGGACTTAAGCCATATATGGTGTGAGGCAGAGGTAACACCCTGAGATGGAAGACTTTTGGGGCTTGATGAATAGCTGACCGAGACCAGGACCCAAGATACTCAAGACCTCCACCCCACTTGGACCAATCTTGTGATGACAGAGTTGGCTGGCTGTGAACAAGTTTGGTCCTGCAGGTGTGGACTTGCAGCCTGGGAAAAGTATAAGAAATCTGGATCTGCAGATCTGAGCCAGAGATCATCTTAGCTTCCTGTCTGCTGCCTTGTCCTATACCTTGTAAATGACTACTCAGATGAGACCTGGAACTTTAACATTAATTTGGACTTTGTTGATCAAACACAGGAAATCCCACTGATTTCATTAGTGTTTGGAGTGTAATCCACTGATCATAAGTAAGACCTTCAACTGACTTTTGCATCTCGCTGGTGCTTTAGAGTTGTAATTGCTGCTTGCCCATAAAAATGGGAGCTAGTGGGCAGACTTCCTATATCAAGCCACTGGTATGAGAGAGGGAAAAAAGTGTGTTGGCAGCTGATAACAATTGTCTTAGTCGTTGCCTTGGCAACTCACTTTGCTAAAGCTTTAAATGTCAGATAAGGTTGTACTGTTTATCATTCTATGTCCTTTTCTATGAAGGCTCCAGCCTGGGACTGAGGACTAATACCTGTCTATAATTTACAAGCTGGGCTGGATATAGACAGTCAAATCCAGTGACTTTGGAAAGGCATAGTCTTGGGTCACAAGATGTTGAGTTGCCCTGTCTGTTTGGCCTTGTGGGATTTTAACCTTTTGGGAGAGGTGGTTTGAACTGCTGGGCTGCCTATTCCAGTAGCGGTAATCACAAGCACAACACAATAAATGCCACTCTGATGCCCATATTCACCAACTGTTGGAAAGTGAAGGCAGAAAAGGAAATGACATAATCTCATAGCAGTGATCATGACCACTAGCACTCTTTGCAAGGAGAAGGTCGAAAGAAGGACTACTAATCAGGTTAAAGAGCTAATCCTTGGCTGAATTTTCTAAAATGCTAGAACCCTTGGATTCATGGGATATTGTCCCTTGGCTTTACCATCTGTCTTGGTCAAAAATATGCATATTTGTGGGTGTTCTTAAATCATAGATGCAAATGGTGGCCCCTTACTTTTGAACATTGTCTTGGCCAAGCCATCTAGGCTGTGAGAGGGCAAGCCAACGTGCAACCTGGCCACCACCTCTTCCTAGGCATTGCCCAGATGTATTAAGCAATTTTCAGTAGTCAACAACACCAGCGGCAAACTCTTCAGGCTGGAAAAAGCACAACCAAGTATGTTCATTCACTGACCTAAGCCAGCTTGTAGCTGGAATTCAGCCTGATAAGGACAGGGAACATTTGGGGCTAATGCACTGGACAGTTGAGGAGTTCTGGGATTTGGCTGCAGGCTCAGACTCACAGTATACCTCCCACATTGGCCTTTGGAGGCTAAAGCATTTCCTCATGTCTGATGCATCAAAATGTTCAGGAAATAGCACTGCAAAGGCACCTAAGGCCAAGGTGGCTCCTGTAAAATATAATAAAGCAGAGCCATCAAAGCCTCCCCCAAGGCGAGGAGTGGGGGACACAGCTAAATAGGACAATCTCATTCAGAGACCGGTGAGAACCTGACCGATGAAAGGCTCTATGGAGTAGGTTTAGAAATGGTAAAGATTTCCACAGCTGATCTGCTGGGAGGGTCAGCCCACCCATAAATTGTATCATGCCCATTTCTACTCTCAGCAACATCGTGACAAAGTCTGTGATGGAGCAATCACTTTCTTGTCCTAGTTGCTCCAGTTCCTGACATGCCTCTGGGCCAATTATACATGAAAAGGAAATAACATGAATCATTTGCACTCTCCCCATCCCACCCCACCCAGTTATATGTCCCCCTATGTGCATTTGTCTGGCTGTGTGCAAAGAACCCCTCAGACTGGGTCCTATGAAGAAGAGTTGCTGAGCTATCAACCAGCTTTTCCCCTCAAATGACTTTTAGGGTGTCTGAAGCCTTGAATCAAGGGGAAAGGTGAAGCTTCTGAACCAGAAGAACAAGACTGCTGAATCAGAACACTGCTGAATCAGAACTAAATTAAATCAGCTCTCAAACACAGCCACATTCATGGGATCACTGACCTCTGGAGCTACTTTTGAGCTGGCCCAATGTAGGAAAATATCCCCTTAATTCCAGTTTCAGGCAGTTAAACCCAAACAGCTGAAGATAGCATTGAATCTGTGATCCTGAATCTGTGATCCCAAGATACCACAAAAATTTACAATCAAGCAAGCAAGTTCCTATGTTGGTTTATATACATTATGTCACTTTTTCCTGCATACCTTATTAGGAACAAAAAATGGTTGATTCAGGAAAGAACAGCTTTGTCCTTAACCACACATACCTATTTTTAGTGTGCTTCTTTCTCTGACAATTTGTATAAGCAGCAGTTTGGACAAAGAAAATGTGTTTCTAATTCCTGTATTGCCTGTACTCCTTATCATTTATTCCCTTCTCAATCAATACTTTTATTTTATGCAACTTGCCTGGTATTGTCATGGCTTCTAGCTTGTTTTACAATGTATCCTAAATATGGCTTTGATTATATCTGCATGTGTTTACTGATTTCACAGTCCAGCACCAGAGCCATCACGAGGGTGTCCTTAGGTTAAATAGTCCATTTGTCTACAGCTATCTAACTGAAAATGGCTGTTCAAGACTTTGGGCCAGTATTCTTTTTCTTGGCTCTGAAATTCCAAATAATTAACTTTCAAGTGTCAAAGGCTGAATTTTAATCATGCAAAGTTTGTGTGTGGTTAATCTCACTTTCTACACAGAACTTCATCCTTCTGATTAGAACATCCATTTGGCTCCTCTTACAGAAATCGTTAACCAAATTTCCACAGAAACAACTCAAGTGTAAGCAGCCCAGGCAAGGGGACAGATTAAATCGAAGGTAAGCACACCCCTTTCATGTTTAAACTCACAGCCTGTGTTTAAAGAAGCATTGTACAAAGTCCGGGGAGTACCAGGGAGCAAACTATGGCTTCACTGCTGGCTTTCAGTGTTCTGGTGACAGGCTCCAACCGAGGTATTGGGTTAGAATTGGTGCGACAGCTTGTAGAGATGCCTGAGCCTCCAAAACACATCTTTGCCACTTGTCGGAAACCTGATGGACCCCGAGGGAAGGTCTGTAGAAAGCCAAAATGCTCTTGCAATATATGTTTGTTGTGATCAGTGCTCCTGGAGAACATCTTCTCTTTAGCAGAAGTATGTTTATTAGAGCCAAGGTTCCCAGCATTAAGGCTTCTGTTGAAGTCCTTCAGTTTGCACAGAGCATCTTATTTGTGTGTTTATCTGAACATTGTTCAAGGTATGACCAATACAGGGTACGATACAAGTGGCATAATTTTCTGGGTGAGAGCTTTCATGTTCCTTCTATTCCAACATTTAGATATGGGTTCCTGTCCCAACAGTACCTTATATGCAGGGATCAGTTCATTTAAGAGACTCCCAAGTATTTTTTAGATCCTAAAACTGATCTAGTGAAAACTGGGTGTCTTAGTAGCTCAAGATGTTGGTTGATTGTTGGGGAGAGGATTAAAACATGGGAGAGATGTGGGGCATGTTTGGAATGCCTCATCTGAACAATAACAGAAGCCACCACTGGCTCAAGCCTGGTCATGGATAATCTACATTTTCAAAAAAATAATGCATTGATTGCAATATATTTTATATTTATATTTATAAAGGCAGGAGGGAACTAACTTGGTTTGAACACATTCCAGTATTAGCCAGTCTGTTCTGCTTTTAGAAAATTCAGTCTGCAAATGATTTGTCCCAGGAATAAGTGTTGGCAAAATGTTAAAACTGAAAATTATGCTATAGGATAATTCAGGTTATTGAAAAGCATTTTTTCATTTTTTAAAATAGTTTTTATGAAAGAAAGTTTTAAAAGAATAAAAACAATACGAATTTTGAAAGAAAAAAGTAAGGAGTAAATGAAAAACTGCGAAGAAAGAAAAAGGGAAGGAAAAGGAAAAGGAAGGAAAAGTTATAAAGAAGC